CTCCCCATCGTTCCCTAGATGCCTTGTAAAGATTACAACCTCAGCTCGGCCCTTTCTCTCTCCCTTTCTCTGCTGTGTTGAGTGTGTGATTAATGACATCGACACTGCACTGGACAGCTGACTACATAGAGCTGGTTGTTGAACAACATATTGAGTCAATGCGCACAAGCACACGCACATACAAAACCAAACACAGCCTAAGGAAAGGTATGCCTCAAAATGTTAACGAGTGCTGCTCCATTAAATCAGTTTTTCAGGATCAGGTGCCTCTCAGTGCTTTACAAAAACTCCTGTCATGGAGAATTTTGAATGGAAAATGTTGTCTCTTTGAATTGTTGTGCTGTAGCTGCCAGACAAAGATTTGCGGTTGTGTTTAGTTGTTAGAAATACATTCATCTTTACAGGCTAATTATTTCTTAACTGTGTTTCACATAACATTTTGCTTTATATTCCATTAAATATATTTCGTTATATTTATTAAATGTTACCTGACTGGTTGGTCAAACATTTGTCAGAAGCAGCATCCATCAAGAATAGATGTGTATCTTGAGCGAAGCAGAGCAGATAGCCCCAGCTTGTGACTTTCATGTATTACATACACTCAAGTCACAAAGATAATCTTCCATTAACCTGTGAAACTGAAACTTAAAATACAATTTTAATAAGTTTCTCAGCTATGTCCATTCATCTCTTATAGACAAAGATGGCAGCAGGAAATTGTGTCATCACTCTGGTTTTGTGTAAAAGCAGTTTGACCACTGACTGGGCTTGGCTTTCAAAAAGCAAGACAGATGACATCATTTCCTGTTGCCATGTTTGCTTAACTGAAAAGAAGTTGGTTTATCCAATAAACTGACAAAAATGATATTTTTCCTGGACTGGAATGGATTATTTTTAATTCTGCATCAACAGAAGAGTTCATGACAAGTCAGGAAATGCCTTCAGAATCTGGGTGAGTAGACATGGTGACAAACAACAGGGCACCAACATCCAACAGCCTCATTCCTTTGGTGACCTGCTGTTGATTTTAGATCAACAACCCCCATTTGATCTTCTTACAATAGCAAAGCACAGCTAAGAAGACAAGCAATGGAGAGGTAGAGAGATAAGAGCTATGAGCACACATATAATCTGATATTGAGGGGGAGTGCATGAATAATATGTTGCATATTTTTTGTGTGAACTGCAGAAACCCTGCACCTCAAAGTCTGGCAGTTTAAAAACCTAGAGGGGCATTTAGATATTGTACGACTGTAGATAAGAGTTGTCAACAAACTGATGCAATCTGAAAAACACAAGGATTAAAACTTAATACAGTGTTATGCTTGATAATATTACAGATAATCTTGGGTAATTTTAGGTTTTTGACTCTCATGATATCTACATTAGGGCTGGATAAAAACTGTTTTTCCAATTAATTGTGATTCTTTTTTAAAGGTGCAGTTTGTAAAATCTAGAAGGATTTATTAGTAGAAATGGGCCATAGTATGCATCTTTTCATTAATGTGCAATGACCAGAGAATAAGAATCATTGTGATTTTTTTATTTTTGAAGGAGCCTTTTATATCTACATAGAAGCAGGTCTCCTGTCATTGAGGCTGCCATGTTTTTTCCCAGTAGCCCATAAAAAGACAAGTGTCTTACATTTACAGTAATCACTGTGAAACAACTGTGAGGGTTGTAAGCCCTGAAAGCTTTGCTGAACACTGCAATCCAAAACCAAACCAACAGATGTCACTGGATTTGCCATACTGCATCATCAAACAATTTAATTATCAATTCTTGAAATCCCAAGATCAATGTCTGCATTTACTCCTTTTCTCAGTAAACATGCATGCTACTGTGAAGACTGGAGGCAGGGCAAAGGAAACTAGGGTACCACAAAGCAGTGATGCAGAATTCACTGTAGATAAACTATGGAGCACATTATGTCTACACAAAATGTAAAAGGCATCCATTCCACGCACTTAAAAGTACAGCTGAATACTGCAACAGGTTCAGTCTGAGACTGCTGACATCAGATCCCCTAGATTAAAACATTAATTTCCAACATCTGGGTCCTAAGCCCAAACATAAAGTTCTGTAATTATGACCATTACATCAAGTATTTCAGGTATGCCAGTAATAGTATAAGTAAATAACTGCTGCTCAAGCCCCTCTTATTTGTCTCAACAAAGACCATTTTGTAAAGACAGGGATTACTCATACAGCACCAAATTCTGTGGGAAAAATACAAAATGTAAGTTAAATTGTTCACTGACCTTTCTTGTGACCCTGAAGTAATAAAGCTTGTCTTCTGTGACAAGCAAAGTTAGAAAATTACTAGTGGGAATGCCACAGTAACCATTACTCACCATGTTAACATTTCAGCACTCAACATTTTTACTGGCCACAGGCTGATTCTTCACTCATTAAATTAAGCAAACTTACAGTATGTTTATCTTGATACGATTCAAAATGCCATTTAATTTGCATCTTAACAACCAGTCAGGCTTCATGAAAAGGAAATGTTAACTTTGTTACACTGTCACAATAACAACATGGCCCATTGTGTGTGAGAAGAGAATTAGTGTAAAGCTGGATCAACAACGTTCTGTGGTTTGTCTACGGAGGTGGTGGTCCATGTCCCCTATTTGCCTCTCCTTCCCTCTCAGAAATAACTGCCTGTGCCTTGGCACAGAGCCAGAAAGTTATACAGTTATATCAGCTTGTTTGGCCATGCCTCATCAGCATTCCTCCCCTTGCTAATGAAACTACAGCACACACCCACATAGGCAGGAACCCTTTCATACGTCCACCCTACAATTTATGTGTGGAAGTATATACATGCATACATGATCAGCTTACACTAGGAACTGGTGTGCAGTTTGTTTCTATTCAGACCTCATCACCTTTTGCACATTTGAGTTGTAAAATTAATCTGAAATGGATAAGAGTGCCATCTTTGCCCATAACAAAACTGAAGATATGATATGTTAATGTTTTATCACCCAGCTCATATTTGCAAACACTTCTAATGCATTTTTAGTGTGTCATTATGGAATAATGAGTGTAGACTGATGGGTAAAATGACAAATGTATCCATTTCAAGTTAAATTAACACTAAGTTTGCAAAAAGTGAAGGGGTCTGAATAAGGAAGCCACTGAGAAAGGAAACTCAAATCACATCTCACTTAAAAACTGAATATACACACGGTCATGATCATGTGATATTACACAGAGTACAGTCTGCTCGTTAGCTGAGACTAAACCTGAACAGAAAAAGGCATCCATAAACATACAGTTGCAATTCTCTTTGGCCAAAGGTAATTAAGAAATGTGTCAACAAGCTGATGACTTCCTGACTCCCCACCCAAAAAAAAACAACCTCTGCTTTACTCCCTCCCTCCTCTTCTTCTTCACTTATACTGTACATTCACTTGTTCTGATGTTTCAAAGGTTTATCCATTTCCCACCGCTGCCTCTCGACAAAAACCCTGTTTATTATTGTTTCTTTTATTTTCTTTGCTACCATTTTATTCTCCTTTTCCCCTGGCTTCAGATTTGCTTCTGTGCTACTCTATCAAGAGTGATGGCTCTATATATTATAATTGTCAGCAAGCACTTTTTAAATAATTACATATCATGGTCCACTTAATCCCCTCATGTACTGAATATGGTGATTGAAAATTAACCTACTGTAACGCTGTTACACTACTTGGGACCTACCAACCCGTAACAGAACACCACTAAGAAGGAACTTCTCACAATAGGCAGTACACCTATTGTTTTTGTTTCTTTCTTTTAGTGTTGTTTTGTTACCTTGGATTTTAGGCCTATTTACATTTTAACAACATTCTCACTTTAAAAGTAAAAAAAAACTGTACACACACTAAACTATGTCGATACACCTAAGCATCTTTCAGTAAGCTACAAATTTATGTCTGCAAAAACATCAGCCAAAAATTCAAAAATACTGTAGCATTTAATGAATCAACACTTCTCTGGAAAAATATGTATATGAGCTGTGTCTACAGAACGGCCACTCAGTAATATAACTAGTCTGGTGTAACCTACATACAGACATACTGTACTATTGCAATAATTATTGAATGTAGATTTCAGTGATTCCCCAACACAAACAACATCTCCCTTCAACTATACTAAGGTAGACAACATGCTGCAACTTAAGCTTCATCAAACTGAGCCTCCTCCATGCTGCACAGACTGGTCCCTATGTGCAGCCGACTGTGAGACGAGTGTACAGGGATCATCTCCAGCGTGGAGGCCAGCTCATTCTGATGAAAATTTGGCTGCAGCTTATCAAACTTAATACAGTTGTAAAAGGCATTGTATCTGTTTTAACAGCTTTTCACTTATGACCTCTTGATTCAAGAACTTGGAACCTTTCCAACTTTACCGAAACCTCGGTAGCAGATGTTATCATCACCTCTGCACCCCTCAGGGCACGCTGTAATTTACATCCTGGGTGGTGGGCTACCATATGGAAAAAGTGTGCGCATGTACTCACTGTCAAAAATCTGGAATTACTCATTTATGAAAATTTGTAAACATTCCCACACCTAGTATAAAAGGTTTAATAATTATAGTAAGATGGGATTGATGTGAAATTATAAAAAAAAAAAATCAATGCAATGGCAATATAAAATAAATCTCTGAAATTGAGCTTAAGACTAAACCTCAAAGAACCCCAACTCTTTTCAAGATCACTAAAACATAGCTTTAATTCTTATTCTAAGTGTTAGCTCCTCTTAAGAACGGCTGATAAATAAGAGTGCCAGTATTAGTTAGCTACAATGGCTGCAGGCAGGAACACCAAAGATAATAAAATGTTTTAATACAAGCAGCATACTCTTTAAGTTGGATAAAGCAGATGGGAAGGAAGGAGAAAGAAGACAGAGAGGCAGCGAGCTGTCTAAGTGACTATTTAAAAACATGATTTGCCCAGCACTAGGAGGGAGGATTAGTGACTGGACTGCTCTACAACACACACATATCCTGACTGTCTAATCCTGGAACACATTAACAGCAGTAATTACACAGCTACAATAGATTAGTGTTGCAGGAAAATGAATGAATGATGGGAAGAAAGCAACAAAAGTAAACAGACAAACAAGTACAAATGAAGAAAAAGAAAGGATGAGATGAAGCAATTAGGGAGACTAAATATTTGCCAGTTCCAGAAAAGAGAAATGGGTGGGGGGATGTACACGAGGAATAGGTGAAAGAGGAGTACGAAAAATGTAAGATAAACAAGAGACTATTTAAGACGCCCAAACTACCAAAAAGTAGGATGAGTAACAGTGGAATGAGAATAAAAAACAGAAACGTCAAGGCAGTAAGAGGAGAGACTGAAAAGTGCTGACAAAGGTGTGGGAAGAAAAAGAAAAGAGACAACGTAGAGAACAGGAGTGAGGGAGAGCAGGCCAATCCACACACAGCCTGTATGTGCTTAACAAGGCATTTCATTCACACTACGAGGAAACAAATTATTTAAACACTCGGAGAACTAATCAATAGAGCAGTTAGGTGCATCACACACACATTGCAACACTCCTGAAGTACAAACTCTGTCTCCATTAATAAACTCTGTGAATATTAATAAACACCTAAAATGTTTCTGTGGAAGTTCCCTTTTTTAGATTGGAAGCTAGTTAGCATGGCTTGCTAGCTTTCACTTTCATAGTGGAATACAAAATGAACAGTAGGAGGGGTACACCCAGATGTTGAGTGTACAGACACAGACAGCTTATATTCTATTGGCTGACTATCAACTAGCTATGTGGAAAAAGGGGAAAGAACCCTTTGTATTCTACGCAGTACTACAGTATGTACTCCAGTCAGCAATGCACCTTGGCAGTTAACAAAGCTTAACAAGACTTTAAAGTGTGTTCACATTACAACAGAAAAGATCTCAATATGAGAATCATATGTTACTGTTCAGTTTGAGAAATTCAGAAACACAAGCAGGCTAACTAGTTTCACTAGTTTCACTTCAGTTAAAACAGTGGTCAACAGTTCCACAAATGTCTCTCAGTTAAAGCAGTGGTCAACAGTTCCACAAATGTCTCTCAGCATACCCCCACTCTGCACAGAGCCTGCACAGCACACCACATACACAACACTGACTGTGAACATTATGCCTTTGATGGACAAATTTCACTAATGTTGGGCGATTACACCAAGACACTGAAACCAACTCAAATAAATGGAACACAGTCATTTGTTGTTAAGTTACACCGTACGTTTCCTGCTATGACACATCAATATGTCTGCTGTGAAAAAGATGTATACTGGCCAATGGAAACACCCACCCAGAGGATTACAGCTCAGCCACTATTAACAAACCTGTTTTAGCATGTTTTGAAAAGTAGCCTACAGAATTGCAACATCAGTATGGTTTATATGTTTGTATAAAAAAACTGAAAATTGAACATTTAAATTGAAAAACTTGACACTTGACAATAGTTGGTCCAGCCTTTCATCTCTACTTCTATGCAGAACAGAGTTATCACAAAAAGAAGGGAACAGTAGGTAAAGGAGGAAGTACTTAAAGAGGAAGACAAGTTCAAATGAAAGGGAAGCGAGGGTTGTTTCTTTGTGGAGAGCTAGGAGGGAGGTGAGAGAGAAGATGCACTAGGATGATAAACAAGATGAAGGGGGCAAAACACACAGGAGCACTGGGTGGGGAGGGGTGGTATATGGGTATATGAAAGAAGATTAAGGGGCAAAAAAGGTAGAGAGAGCAAGTAAAAGAGGAGCGTGGAAAAAAAATGAGTGCATGACTGGTGTGCTCTTTGAATAATGGAGCCAATATGAAGTGAGTCACTGAGAAGATTTGATCGTCTGATGGGGGTCACAGGGCTCCTGCCCTGAGAGCAGCACAGAGAATCAACAGCAGTCAAAAAAGAATCACAAGAGGGAGTGATTTGCATTTTACACTCACAACTAAAGTGGAATTGTCTCACGTCTTTTCCTGTCTGGCCCATCACAACTCATATCAGATACACTTTAAATTTTTCATACAACAGTTATGAAGAACTGGAGCTCCAGGCTTTGTCTAATTTCCCAAGACTTTGGGATGTGAAAATCATATGCTCCTTTCATGATAAAAAAAAATGGCAGTCATTTCGATTACTCTTTCATGACTTCTGGGAAAACTTCAAATCTTATGAAAATGCTGTTTCATAAAAAATTATCCTGTCGCTTTTCTAAGTCTTTCAGGAGTTCGTGAAAATTATTACAAACTACTTCTTACAATGATTAATGTAGCTAACTGGAGGCTCAAAGTTCAGATAGACTCAAAGAGAGATAAAATTACATTTGGCCATGCTTTTGTTCATTTTATGAGCACTGATATCAATGACAATTAAATGTTATTCTGTAGCTACAATTACTGCAATTCAGAAACTTTAATAAATGGGCAGAATTAACATGAAAAAACAATCCATCTTAACTGCCTTTGTAAGGTGATGCACAAGGTGAAATAATTCTGAGATGTAGCAGCCTAATACATTTTAAAACAATATTATTCAGGTGTCTGGCATGCTGGTTTGCCTGTCCTTCAAGCTAATACTTGTGTATTTTGAAAAAAAAAGAAAGTTTGTTAAATGTAGTGATAATAAACACCTTTGTTTTGACAGGAAGCAGCAACACCAAAACATACAGTTCTACGTCACAACACTGCCTATCCCAAAACACTAACTGTGAGTGCTATTTGTAAATAAATGTGCATTTCGACCTCCTTCTGGGTACCTGTTCCAGGAGTTTTCTGTATCTCTGCGTGGCTTGCTGGATGAGGTCCCTTACAGTCCACCCCTCCTTGCAGGGCACCACAACACCTGTCTGCCCAAACGTCACCGTCACCTTCATTTTAGCGCTCTCCACTTCATCCAAGACACAGGCCCTCTGGATGTGGGTGATGAACAATGGTGATGAAAATGCAGGAAGGCTCCAAACTGTCAAATGCCCCAGGAGAGTATTGATGAGGAGGTAGGGATGTAACCAAACAGAAGATGCAGAGAACAGTGAGAGAAAAGCAGGACCGACAGCTACTTATGATCAGCAGCTGATAAACACTAGAAACCAAGTAAATCATCATTCAAACCAACTTCCTCAATAGTCACACAGCTTGTTACAGTGGCTCAGAGTCAACAGGGCTATGACTCCTATCAAATTTTACAGGCACTGCTCAAGGCAATTATTGTGGCAGGATCAAGTAACTTACATCCAGCTCCAGTATTACTTTCTCATGCTATGGTCATCAGGGTCATTTTCTTAAGTAATATCAACAAGTGTTGATACTATTCAGCAAGTCGAAGTATAAACAAGGTTTCCTGAAACATTAAACAGGCTGCACTTCCCTCATGATTGAACTGACTGGAAGCTGATAAACAAGAAGTGCGTGTGTCACTCATTTCTCACTGGAATTAACTAACGGGTTAACATCTCTCAACACAAGCCAGATGTTTGTCAGCTAGCTAAAAATGTTTAGCTAGTTGATACTGTAACCTGGCCTGGCAAGGATGCAAGCATTCAGCCTGCCAGCATTATGTATCCTCACGCCCTTCTCCACTACATCAAATGCTATATAGCTTGTTTCCACAAACATAAAACTGCGTATCTAAACCTTCACGCCAGGATAAGCGAGCGAGTCCCACGCTAGCTAACGTTAGCCACCTTAGCTGAACTTTGGAGGGAGGGATGGAGTCGCTCCGGCATCATTCCATAAGTTTTCCCCCTCGCAAGTTTCCTTATTTCCAAGCGGTCAGTAGCATCCAGACGTAGTAAGGCAACTTAGAGGTTGTATTCACATTCAGGAACAACCCGGAGGCAACGTAAAGCAGTAAACAAACTAGTGGAGTTTGTGTTGGAAAAGTTTAGACATTCCTTCGCTGCCGTGGGCTCCTGGCCAGTTCCTGACCAGCTCCTCCACCGCTCGTTACTGTCACTTTCTTTAAAGAGGAAGTGCTCCGATGATTGTCGGAATGAAAGGGGATAGAAGTAATGTACACTTCATGGAGCCACATGTTCAGCTAGATACTGCTTTAACATGCAAAGACTGACAAGTAACTAAAGCCCTTTTTAAAAGTGTAGCAATCGCATGTGGTGATAAACTATTTATTTACCACAAAGCAGTGATTACGGCATAATTACTAAAGGTAACTATGTTGAATTATTATGGCTATTGCATAAAGGCTGCTTTTCCTTGTTTTTTGACTTATCTACAATGGTACAACCGCGAATTATCATCACAGATACGACCTAAATATCAAACAATGAGGTGTATGTTCTAGTATTTCCATGCAGAAGCAACTGGGTTTATATGCATCTCGCGAGACTTCTTTTCTACCAAAATAAAGTATTACATGATAGTTCAAGGATCTCCTTGAATGGGCATAAATCCAGCCCCTTGCACATTCGCAGCTTGCCTGACATCATTTCAGGCATTCACATTACCTGAAAATCAAATGTTTCAAAAATGTACACAATTATAAATAGCCACAGGTCTGACTGAATTATTTCCTACTATAATAAGTAATACGCAAAGTTAATGAAAAATTATTATGTTTTAGCTTTGTAAAACCTAGAGGTGGCCTACACACTCTGAGAGCCACAACAATTTTAAGGTATATTTAACTGTCAAAGATAGACTATCAAGAGACCCATGTTAATACAATAGATACCAAATTTCCATCATAGGAAGCATGAAACCTAGTTACACCTCTTGAACATCCTCTACCGGTTGAGACAGGCCCAGCATTTTAATGTTGAAGCCAACAAAAACACTGCATTTACAAAACACTGTGGCTTCTCATACTTTGGTTCATCTTCAAAGGGAAAACTCCTCCCAGTGAGATGGAGTTTGGCTTTATAATTAGCAGCTCAAGTGTATGCATGTGTGTGTCTGCTAATTGATTTGGGCTAGGTTTAGTTTCTGGGTCATTGAATTCCATTGCTACTAATGAACCCCAGGGAAGAAAGAACACTGTGCGTGCTTTTTTTTGTTTGTTTGTTTGTTTTGCCTTTCTTTCATGAAAGTTTGGATGTTTGAAGTACATTTGAATAATCATTTGGGATATGAATGTGTTTATATTAACAAAGATGTTGGAGGATAATAGTCAATAGTTTTTTTCTTTCCTATGACATGATGTTTTATTCTACAAATAAAATTGCAGATAGATTAAACAGGTTCCTACTATGGTTTTATTTTTTACTCAGAGAGACAGACACATTTGTTCGAACCTTGCCCAGTTGATCCATATGTTTTCAATTCTCTCTCCTCACCCCATATGGTAAAATGCTAACCCCAACAGTGTTCATGCATCCTCCATTATGGACTACTTTGAACCACAGCGAACATGCTAGGATGTGAACGCTCCCCTGCTGCTGGGCCAGGTGCAACCAGTTCCTGACAAACCAATCAATATGTGTGGTAGAACATGTTCTGCTTTACAAAAAACCTGCAATAGGAGAGAGGAGAGCATCATAAGATGCTGGTGTAACATGCACTCAGGTAAAATACAACACATGCAATATTTTACATGATAAAATGAACACAAAATCAGTACCTATGTTTTACAAATGTATTACCAGAAGGCTTTTAGATGTTAAAAGTAGAGAGAAGCACATCTGGCATGAGACAGCCCTTCTCCACATACACAGTAACATTCAGAAATGCTCTTTCTCCACATAATTCCAGGGCAACTGTTTAGCTTGATGTTGATGTCATATACTCACTTCTTTGGAGTTTGTAATGGACCATAAGGTTCTGTCCAAATTCATCACAGCTGGCTTTCACTTCCGAATGAGAGAGGCACAAGCACGCAATTGGTTGAAGAAGACATAGCAGATGATAAATTGCCATGT